AAAATGCCCAAAAAATCACACCAAATTTTTATTACATTTTCTGATATATATTGATGTCCTTATGCTGTGTAGCAAGTTTGAGCTGATTTCAACTTTAATTTTTCGAGTTACGGCCATTTTAAGAAAACGTCAAAATTCTGAAAAATACCCAAGACTATAGTCCATGGTTTTTTCCAAAAAATGCCCAAAAAATCACCTCAAATTTTTATTAGATTTTCTGATACATATTGATGTCCTTATGCTGTGTAGCAAGTTTGAGTCAATTCTGACTTCAATTTTTCCAGTTATGGTCATTTTAAGAAAACGTCAAAATTCTGAAAAATACCCAAGGCTATAGTCCATGGTTTTTTTCCAAAAAATGCCCAAAAAATCACACCAAATTTTTATTAGATTTTTTGATACATATTGATGTCCTTATGCTTTGTAGCAAGTTTGAGTCGATTCTAACTTCAATTTTTTCAGTTACAGCCATTTTAAGAAAACGTCAAAATTCTGAAAAATACCCAAGGCTATAGTCCATGGTTTTTTCCACAAAATGCCCAAAAAATCACACCAAATTTTTATTACATTTTCTGATATATATTGATGTCTTTATGCTGTGTAGCAAGTTTGAGCTGATTTCGACTTTAATTTTTCGAGTTATGGCCATTTTAAGAAAACGTCAAAATTCTGAAAAATACCCAAGGCTATAGCCCATGGTTTTTTCCAAAAATGCCCAAAAAATCACCCCAAATTTTTATTACATTTTCTGATACATATTGATGTCCTTATGCTGTGTAGTAAGTTTGAGTCAATTCCGACTTCAATTTTTCCAGTTACGGCCATTTTAAGAAAACGCCAAAATTCTGAAAAATACCCAAGGCTATAGCCCATGGTTTTTTCCAAAAAATGGCTCTGAAATCAACCCAAACTTTTATTACATTTCCTGATACATATTGATGTCCTAACACTCTGCCATTACCTGATGCTCATGTCATTTGAGCAGCTCAATATTTGACTGCTGTCCTTAGAGAAGGAGACTGACGTCACACTCTCATTGTGGGCGTGTTCAAACCGCCTTAGACACTGACCAGTGGAGACTTTCCAAACCTAATAATAATAATAATAATAAAATAAAAATACGGTATGTTGATTATTATTATCATTGTTATTATTACTTTTATTCTTCCGTCCTTGGCTCCAGATGCCAAGAGTTCACTGTCTCTACTGAATGACAGACAAAGGACAGCATCATCCATCATCATGAAACTATCCTAATGACAATAATAATAATAATATCATGATCATGATCATGATCATCATCATCATTATCATTATTATACTTGTGCCTGATACTTCAAATCCTTCCTTATTTTTCCGGTAGTGAAGTTCCAAACTTCAATGAAACCATCAGCACTACCAGTGACCAGGTATTGTCCGTCTGGTGAGAAGACTGCGGACTGTGGGTACGACTTAGTTCCAAACTTTATGGTTTTATTAAGTAACGTTGGATACTTCTCCTCTTCTGAATCTCTCATAGCAGCACGACCTCTTTATAAATAAATAAATAACAAAATTAATTAATGAATTGATTAATAACCTGAATAGATCGATTGTTGAACCAGGTGGCAGTAGCCCCTGGTGCTGCTGCCATTTTAAGGACTGACCTAACAGTGCCAGTAACCTTGACGGAGGCACTACTGACACTTCACCAGATAATGCTAAAAGACAAATGAATAAATAAATCAATACAATACAATTCATTACCATTAGCTATAGCAGCTCTTCTCTTCTCTTTACTACTTCCATTAGTGTAAGCCTAATAGTAGACAACAACATGTAATATATCCTCTGCCACACAATGGCGGCAACCACTTACTTCTCTCGGGTCAAAGTAAGATCTTGCCAGCAGGTTCTCCAGGTGTATATATCGCTCCGGCTGTTGCTGTTTCAGCATTATCATTGGATCAGTTTGTCTCAGTAAGGAACGGGCGGCCCCTAATTCTCTTAACTCAATCAACTCAATCACTATCTATTAATTAATTAATTAGTTATGTTAAGCATGTGTCAAATGAGGGATTTAATTAATAAAACACACCTGTTCATAAAGATCAATCAATGTTTTGTCTGGTAGTTTCAGAGACTGAATGGCTTGAAGAACAGCGTCCCAGTGTCCTTTACTGATATCTGACACAAAACTTTCAATAGAATCCACTGTATTGAGAGATATACCAGTCTCCTCCTAATCATCAATAATAATAATTATTATTATTATCATTATTTTATTTGTTTATTCATTCTCACTTGTAGTGTAAGTAGTGATCTTTGGAGGTTGTTTTCTTTTAGATATTGTTGTATTAATCTTATAACACTACAAACAATAATTAATTATTTAATAATAATAATAACAACAATGAAGAAAGAAGAGGGAGATAGAGAAAAAGATATTTGAACTTACTCTGCACTCTCTATTTCAAGAGCCATTTTATAAATAATTACCATAAAGCCCCACCTATTTAGGCATCTATGCCGACGACACTAAGTGCTACCATCCTATCAGCCATATCTCAGACTCCCTCCATCTTCAAGCAGATCTGGATTCACTGGCCTAGTGGAGTGAGGATAACATAGCATTCAATAATACCAAGTCATTCCTTATTCGTTTCTCTCTTCACCCCGGGGTTGGTAAAATGGGGACAGGGACTGGGACTGAGATTGGCAGGGTAAAAGCAGGACTGGGACTGGGACTGGGACTGAAAGGGTAAATGAAGGACTGGGACTGAAAGGGTAAATTTGGGGTATATCTAGCTGATGTGTATACTACAGAGCAACTAATCCATTTCTCTATTCACTGCACAGCTCAGTCCTTCTTAGAAAGTTGCAGAATATGATCAAAAGTTTTTGATTGAATTAGAGGGTGAATTTTCTGGTAAATTGATGTAGATCAGTCTACACTTAGATATATGCAAAAAAGTCTAAATGAGGTATGTTCCTTTGGTGTGACAAATACATGATTGGGCTAACATGATAATAAGTGCAGTTATATTTTTCATTTATATTAAAATTTTGCCATGCATCTTTCAAAGGAAGTTAGTAACTTAGATAAAGGAAAAATAGTAGTGTACTAAGACGCAGAAATGCAATCAAATGTGCAGGTGAAGATAGCATTCCAGTTGTTGAAGTACATTATTGAATGCACTATAGGCATGTATATAGATTGAAGTAATCAATCATGGAACTGGATATAACCCTGTTTTAACTAAATTTATGTGCATTTCTACATCTCCCAGTTCTAACTTTTAGAGTTATACTGTTTATATAAGTAAATAATGGGCAATACATTCTGTAATGCATTTTTTATTATTTTTATTTATGTTATATCCCTATAGTGTTCCTGATAGCTTCCTGTAAAAATCCTAGTATTATACATAACTAAAGTCAAACTAGACACTAATTTTTCTTCATCATATAAATAAGTATTCTGTGCTGTATACAGATTAGAAGGTTTTTCTGTACATAGTTCTGTTCACTATAGTAGTGTAATCCAGTGGCATGGTAGAGAACTTTACTACAATGGTCTTGGACCACTGAATGAAAGAGCGAAGACTTCAAAGTCTTAAAACATAAAATATACAACATAAAACTGGTTCTTATGCTTACTTTTTTTGTTTTTATCATTAGTGATAATTTTGTATCATGTAGTGATCAAAAACATTTCAATTTATAAATATAGTCACAATCTATGTTCTTTATGCATGTTCTTTGATAGTTTTTCCTGTCTTGATATTTATTTGAGACCTGCAACAGTCTCACACTGCATGCAGTACTCCCATTCTTGGAAATCCCAGTCCTTTCATTCTAATTTGCCTAAAGTCCCAGTCCCTTTTTACCCAATTGTCCCCAGTCCCAGACTCCCAGTCCCTGTCCCTGTTTTACTCTACTTTTTTCAGTCCCTGTCCCTGTCCCTGTTTTTCCCAGTCCCAGTCCCTGTCCCTATTTTACCCTGTTTTTCCCAGTCCCAGTCCCTGTCCCTATTTTACCCAGTCCCATCAGTTTTCCTTACTTTGTAAGCTTCTTCTCCCTGGCGCTGCTCTTTAGACATTATTAGATGATAAAGAAAGACTTTTTCCAGCTGTAGAGAAAGATCTATAAGGCCAGAGTGCTCGGTTTCAAAGTTATATTAAAAAAAAAGACATTAAAAAGGGACAGAAGAATGACCGACAGACAACCAAACTACTTAATACCCGCCTACGCGGCGAGTCCAAAAATGTGTGTTTTACCACCATTAGGTGAGAAGAGGTCACTATCAAACACTGTAATCTCTAATACAGTATCATTAGGATCACTTATTAGAAACTCTGGCATCTATAACATAATAATAATAATAATAATAATAATAATAATAATAATAATAA